ATCGACCAAAGCACTCGAGTCATAATGTTGTCCACAACTATAGATCGTTTTCACTGTCACGCAATAACAAATAAATCGAAAACCATCAAGTGGAAAAAGTTATCAAATTGTGATTTTATGGAAGATAACTAAATAAACACTTCTCCAAGTTTTAGGTCTGTGCGTTTCCCCAAACTTCAGATATTCGTCGAAATGTTTCGCAGAAATTTACAAAGCCCAGCATGAAAACGCCATGTTGGTGTACTTCCGTAGTACACCAATATGGCGGCCGGAAATTAGTGTAAACATCTGGAACTTACTTTGGCTATCTAGGCGACTGATTATCAGTACTGAACAAAAACATTTACACAAGCACTTTTCCTAATGCTCTAACTTCTAAAAAGGCTCAAACTCATGAGATAAGACAAACTCGATCGTAGCCTTGTGTCACACACCTCCTTAACCCTGAAATTCAAAATGCTCTGGTTTCCAAACGAAGCACGCCATTCAGCTTTAAAATTGTAAACAGATATAAACAGACCAGCTCTTATGCCTGTTGAAGTAAAAACTTTAGTTTTGGATCTTAGACAGTGATGACGTCACGTGAAAACGTTTTTAGTGTTGTGATAAACGCTAAAGATAGAGAGAATCTAGCAACAATTTGGAACGTAATTAGTTGTTTTCACGGGATAGTTATCAGTGGTTGGTTGGGTTCAGTGATTTTCAAAGAGATATGCCGTTTCAGTTCAAAAATCACTGAAAAGATTTTAAACAGGCGAAAGAAAGCCGACTCCTTGAGTGTTCAAGACAAGTTTGTTTTCATAACCAAAAAAGCTGTCGTCTGATTCCTGTCATCAGTCGACCGTCGCGCCAAGTGCGACCTACTTGTCACTGCGCGGACAAAAGCTTGTCTACGGAGAAAAATCTTCAGAGAAGCCGTCGTCCTGCCTCGGAGCAGGACGTTTTACGAAAAACACACATTAAGTGTTTTTCTTGCGATCATGATTAAGCTGTCATTCAAATCCCAAAAATGTTCTCGCTTCTTATTTCAGCAGCTTCAGTGCGACTTGCACTGTGTGTCTCGCGTTTCAGG